TTTTTTTTCTTTGCAGTTATCATCTCTGTTACTAATCAAACTTTGACGATAATACTGAAATTACAATTTTAAAGAAAAGTATTATCGAGTATTATTGAGTTCTAAATGCATAAATACAATACGTCTACTAAACTAATAAATCATAAAATTAGTACAATATTATCAGTTTTTAACTCTTGATTACTTTAATTTCACAAGGACGCGAACTTCTGTAAAAATGTCAGTCTTTAATAGTATCTCGTCGGCAGAGCTAATGCAGATTTTTGCGCCTAAATTAAATTAATAATCTGTGTATTTATGATCATGTATCCAACTGATTTGTTAACGCATAACGTACATTCATCTCTTTTAATACTTCTATTTTACAAATAGTGTATTTGAACTGTTATAATGTCTGAATCTACAAACGCTCAAACAAATGCTATCAAATAGAAATTGATGGAGTACATTATGTATAATATATATTTAACGAGGAAAGTAAGTTTTTAATTCTTTTCCTTTTTATGAATTTGACGTTACGTATTTAAAAACAAAGAATTTGCTAGTTAATTTTTAGATCAAAGCTTATGTTGCACATATAGAATGAAATAAAATCAAACTGTATTAATATATTAAAGACTCTAATAAATATAAATCAAGTGATATAACTTATAAATTACTGAAATTTATTTTGCAATGTAGTATTTTCTTTTAAGAAAACACCTTGCATATGAATCTGCTATATTCAGATGTAACGATTTATTTTTAGTATATAAGACTATTATCAGTTTCTAGTAAAATGAAAGAGGCATTTTCAATTAATAAGGTATTTTTTATTTATTCATAAAAATAAACAATTTTATTTTCTAATCTAATCTTAAAGAACAGTTTATAGCTCTGCAGCGTTTGGAATTAATTCTTGACACTCGGATTGCTCGAAAATCACGTGATCAAGCTCGCCATCTACTAGCTTACATCTCAGATTTACATTGCCGAACGCATCTAAGAAGCAGAGAACAAAAAATAAGAATTTCAATCTATCAGAAACTGTGTATTCTACAATACATCATTTCGGGAAAGCTCCGGTTGCACACATGCGTCGCTAATTGGCTTAATTTAAAAATAAAATATTCTCATTGGTAAAGCAGTAAAAAATTACTAGGCACCAGCTGATATGAGTGGTGTATGCAATCGGGATTGTAAGCAAACGGGATCCCCATGATTTCTGATCAGTTGAAATTTTTATGCTCTGTTCCTTGTTCCTTTTATTGTGCGGAGCTCAGTCCTCACGAGCTGCTCAAACTGACCATTTCAACGACAAAGAAGATTAGTGACGACTTTTGTCGCAAAACTATTAGAATGACAATTTTATACATGAAAAAGGATAAGAAGCGTTAAATTTGAGCTACAGATTCGATATGTTGTTATTTATCCTTGTTATTCATTGAATGTTAAAGGATATGCGCATCATGCTTGAAACGGAACACACAGCCTAGATTATTTTGAATGCATAGAATCCTCTATTTGGATCAGCAATAAAAAAAAGATTAAATTAGGTTTTATATATATCGCAGTCAACGGTGGTCAACACAATCGATACAGTATATTAGCTGTCAATAGCGTTTGAGTGTTTGACGTTTGTAGTTGAAACTGTTTAAACTACAAGATTTCAGTCACTGGATAACGAGCGATAAATCTGTCGCTCCAATTGCTTATTGGTGAAGCCACAATAGAAGGAATAAGGAATCCAACCTATCAAAAACCCTGTATTCCAGTGTATCCAATATCTGATAGGTTAAAAACTTATTCCTTATTTCTAATTTCTTATTTCTTCTATTGTGGCTGCACCTTATTTTAACAACACGTGAAAATATATCTTTGTTCAACATTCGGTGAAGAACAAGGATAAGATGATTCTTGGATTAACAGAGTCGAGTTTTGGAACGCATTCTGTCACAGTGATGGCACTGACGGCCACTGATGGCACGAGTTGTCGACAAAGCGATAAAGCAGTTTGTAAGCAATTTTATACTGCATTATTTGATACATTACGTTTGTGTATATACGAGTTGTTCAAAGTTTCTCTTTTGCAATTCGAATAATTTTAGAGTTTTTTGCGAACGCTATATGCGAAAAAGAATCTAATAAACAATTCTAACCAAAGTGAATTCATCATGGCTTATGTGATGTATCGTTATTAATTTTCATATTTCGTGTTCGAGATGTGTTGTAATAGTACTAAGTAATATCTCAAAAATTATAACCGATTATAAAATTGAAGTGCAAGCGACAAAATATGACAGTAGAAATGTGGAAGTATATTTTGGTAGTTGTTATCATAAATTCAGGTAATGATGAGCTCTACATGTTCTATTCAATCTTAATACAATTTTAGTAATTATTATAATAATTATATATTAATTTCCAGTGACCTCTGAAAGAATAAAGGACATGATATATATGCCCTTCGACGGTGTAGCTGCATGTTTCCGAAGACACAATGGTACACATCAGTTCGGATGTTCCTGTAAGAATTAAAACCTTTTATCAGTTGCTTCTTTATTAATCATCAATCTCGTCTAGTTCTCCAGGATTGATTATTTCAAGTTATTTTGACATTGTGATATTCCAGCTAGTAGATCGGGAAGTGTAGGCGTAGTACATTTGGTGGAGGTAGAGAGTGATATTGCTTGGTTAGAAAAGAACGCTACTGCCGGTCCATATACTGTGGTCCTTTCATTTGAGATGTTCAACAGAACTACGCTTCTGAGATTAAAAGATACAAACAACATAAATGGAGTGCTGCTGACAAAAAATATCAGTCATGAACGACCGTTACATTATTCACCTGAGGATGAGTGTCCCAATCGATACTCTGGTTATAAGAAATGTAATAACATAGAGCCATGGAATCCTTTCGGAACTGCAATACTCATGGAAGATTGGCCATTTCCTATGTTTTACACAGAGGTTAGATCTGTATTTAATGAATTCGCAATTAAAGGCTATGCTATTACATATAAAAAAATTAAGCAGTAAGACATAAACAGTAAGCAAATCAACATTTTGGATTTTTTACAGTTTATGTTATTACCTTATGATGATTGACCAATTTGCTTGCTGCTTATGTTTTACTGCTCAAGTTTTTCTGTGTGCTTTAGTCTTTACTTATATTACATTAGTATACTGGATTAGTGCACATTAAACATTGCTTTAATAATATACCTAAATGCAGTGATACAACAATCATTTTTACAATAAAATGTATGTATATTCTGTTAAGTAACATGATAATGTCATTTAACTATTTAAAATATTTTTATATACTTTTACATTTAATTTTGTTAATTTCATGTATAACAACTTTTGATATGCACTAATCTAAGATTTCTTTTTAGCTAAACTTTTTACATATTGCATACTCTCTTTGTTCCTCTTCAATATGAAAAGAAAAAAAGAAACTATAGAAAAAGTTTAATTGAAAAGAACAGATGATTGAAAAGAACAATCTGCGATCTGTTCTTTGTCGCTGCACTTTGAATTGCTTAAAAATTTTCCATCTTATTTTCATAAATGTCTAAATATATATTTCATTTTAAATACAACAAGTGTACACTAGTTCAGTCGCAAAAAAAAAACAGATCTCTAGTATAACGCAACTTATATAAGTGACCAAATTTGCTATAAGAACATATGAATAAACAAATTCTATATAAAAGACACGTTTCAAACAAATACTAAAGGGTTCACGTTTTCAGAATCAGACAGCCTTGGAGGCTATAAAATCTTGTTTCTGGACGCACAATGCGCACGATCTTGAAATGCAATATCAGAGGTCTCTTTGCGCGATAGAAATGAAGTCGTTCATGTACGCTGCCATTAACTCGGAATCTTGTATAAAGCGTACAGATTTAATGTTGAATTTCAATCCAACGCAGTTTTGCGATCCGCTTGGAGATAGAAACATACACTGGCCCTTAGCGCCTCTCGATGAGAGTAATAATACAGTGATAATGGTAACGGCACGATTGGATGCGTCTTCTTTATTCGATGGCGTGTCGCCCGGTGCGGGTAACGTCGTAACAGGACTGGTTACTTTACTTGCTACTGCGTACTATCTAAATTCCTTAAATGCCACCGTCGACAGTACGTATTCATCTCTCCCCAGAATTGTTACACAACTAGTTGTCTATGTATACATGGTATATAAGACTGTACATTTAAATTGAGATACTTGAAAAGAATATCTTGAAAAGAAAATATTTTAGAAAAAAATGTTCCAAATAGTTGTATTGTCTGACGAACAAATAATAATAAAATCGAACTTAAAAAAATCGATTTTTCGAAAACACATAAAGGTCACAGTAATTTTTTAAAAATAGAATTATATGACTTTTAAAAGATATATTCTTTTAGTTATTTCTTTATATATATAAGAGTATTAAAATTATTAAAAAGTTTAAGTTTACAAGATATTTTATAATTCATGCCAAAATCAACGACATTCATGTTAGAATAAAGGATATAAACATATTAAGACTTTAAATACAAAGCTTTTCGGTCCGAGTGTTAAGATGTTGAACTACTATCTAATATACATTCAATTAATTTGAATTAATATTTCAGAAATAAATTGAGAGCCGATGAAATTATCGGATTCACACAATCAATCTGAAACAAATAATTCCCCCAAATTCTCCCAAATCTTAAAAAACTGTAATAAACTTATTGCGAAAAATATTGCGATAAAGTTTTTTAAGATTTGGGAGAATTTGGGGGGATTATTTGTTTCAGATTGATTGTGTGAATCCGATAATTTCATCGGCTCTCAATTTATTTCTGAAATATTAATTCAAATTAATTGAATGTATATTAGATAGTAGTTCAACATCTTAACACTCGGACCGAAAAGGCGCTTTGTATTTAAAGTCTTAATATTTATATAGACGGTCTTGTTTCCAATCATATTGGATATAAACATCTCATAAATTATTTATTTTTTATACTTTTATATGCAGAATAATTTTAAAAAAAAATCAGACAATTCCTTTGATCATGAAAAATCATTTTATTATTATTTGTCTCTTTCAGACGATACAACTTCATTTAGAATATTTTTTTAATGCTTTCTTTTCTTTTAACATATTCAAATTATCTCAATTTAATGCCTCACTCCGTACATGTGTATTTATTCGGTGAGCAATTTAAGCGGCATATGATGTTTCCTTGTTGGATCGCTTATGTTCTAAATTACTGCAATTGCATCACAAAGAACACATAATTTCTAGTAATTTATTAAAATATAAACAATCCAGTAAGAAAACATCGTGTGCCGCTAACTTTACGGAACTAAGGAGCTTTAAGCCCTTAGATCTAATTCAGATTGAAGGCATTTTCCTGTTTGGCTATTTATATGTCTGTCTAATATCACTTATTGTTATATATTTATTCTTATCATATCTAGAGACGAACGTTGTATTTTCTCTGCTGAATGGAGAGGCATTCGATTATATAGGATCCAGTCGTATGATATACGACTTAAAACATAACAATTTTAACGCCCTTGGTGGAATCAATTTGAAATTCGACGATATCCTGAGTGTGGTCGAGTTTGGTCAGTTGGGTCTGGGAAAGATATTTCTTCACAGTAACGGCGAAGACGATATGATAATCCGTCTAAGTAAAACATTGAAGGCGAAGATTAAATATGGTAGTGTCCCACCTACGTCCGTGCAAAGTTTTCTGGAGGCAAAACCCAATCTAACGACCGTCGTTATAAGCAATCACGAGGAACAATTTAAGAACCGATATTATAATGGCATCTTGGATGATGCGGAGAGTCTCGGTTTTGATAAGTACATACACAACTTTTTTGTGTTCGATCTTGATATATACTTCATATTTTAGTATTACTTGATTTTACATTATTGAGATTTTCTCTCGTGTATCATGTTTTAGAAACGATACTAGCACGCTTGCATCAGATTTAGCGAAAATTGCTCTTCAGGTTGCTAATGAGCTTTATTGGGAGGTGACGGGCGAGGCGCCGCAGCCTGTCGATCTGCCGGTACGGAGATCTATGGAGAATCTTGTCTCGGAAATGCTACATTGCTATCTGGAAAGCGCGAAGTGTAATCTGTTCCGTGCGGCTTCGTCGCCTAACACTAAATTGATCGATCAGGTTTTGCCGTTGTACGTCGGGGTGCACCGAGCGCTCAACATCGCGACGACTTTGACGGGCCAGCTTTTAGCATATCTGACCGGCGAAAAGCTCTACGAGATGAACGAATCAATGTGCTACGAAAATCGACTCGCCTGGATGAGCGGTCAAAACTTCACGGGCTTATGTATCAATTCAACTGTCAATTACAGTACAGCCGTGAGTCCGGCGTTTATTATCGAGGGTAAGTTGCTGCACCATTCACAATAGATCTAGGCTCGATGTCTCTAATTGTTTTTCCTGTTATAGGATACGATATGAAATCAGGTGTCTACTCAACTTGGACAGAGTCCATATGGCAAACGTTAAGCGTTAGAATGTTTCTCAAACCAGCAGCAGCGACGGAACGTTTCAATCTGATTCTGGGTAGCTTGGTCACCGGTTTCTCATTCGTATTAGTATGGTTTATTAATAATAGAGCTAATGTACTATTTAATTCGAGGTATGTATTATCTTTCTAAGGAAAAACTAAAAATTATATTAAAGTAATATAATTAAAGTAATATATTAATATATATTAACATTAATTATATATACATATAAGATATATATTTGAGGTATATTATAAATATATATAAATATATATATTTATATATAAATGTGAAATTGAAGTAATATATATTTTAAAATAAATTATCATACACACACACTATATATCAACATTTTCAGGAGAACTGTTGATTGCTAGGGATACGCTGCGGACCACATATCAATGACCAGGTTAGATAATCATCAAGAAGATCGAGATGTTCCAATAACTAGCCTTTAACCTTGTATGTGTGGTACGCTCTCGGAAGATTTTTATAGTTCGAAAACTATCTGGATATATGTCACATTATCATTCTTATAATTTTTATCTTTTATTTATCATCACTTCATCCGCAGTGTTCAATTGAAAAAAATCACGGATGCATCTTTGATACTCAATGTAAACAGTAAAGTGAATCTTTCTTCTACCTTTTTTTTTAACAATATCTATATTATAAATTATTTATGAAGTTACATATATGAGAAAAGACATTAGACGATTGAACGGGTAACTCGACAAAATTAACGGTTTTGTATTGTGTACGCGTGTATATAAATGAATGTATGTGTATGTATGTATAAGGTATAGTCACATTAATAAGATTTTGTAAAATAAAAATTATATAAAAGAACGCAAGCATAGCAACTTTTTTTAATAGCGATAAAAGGTTGTTACTCATGTTACACATTAAAAAATTAAATGATAAGTCGATCGTGAAAAAGTATATCTCTTTCTATCCCTCTTACGCTTTTGCCAAGTCTATCTTTGAAGGATAACAATATATGAATTATAAGATCTTAAGTCTTTCTGCTATAAATATTAAATCTCGAGTGCATATTTCCCTAATCATTTTCATTTTACACACAATATATATTATTTTTCATTAGAGCAACAAACTATGAACGTGGTATAAAAACATATCGATAATATTAAAACAAACGGCATCTTACATAATGATAAGAATAAAAAGGGAATAATGCAAGCGTGATGGCATTTATTATCGATAAACAACTTATTTAACAGGGCATTGATGTACACGGGAAAGAATTTAATTTGTATATCTATGCTTTGTGTGTGTTCTTTAGTATACATATAAGTATATAATGTGTTTCTCATTTACGACTTGAAATTTAGACAAAGTTAGAAATGGGCCATTCTCGGAAGAAGGTTGATTCAGATTAAGAAATTTACAGAATCTCACTGTATTCTAGATAATCGAAGGTAGAGTGTTATTAGGATATTCTTAACTATAGCTCAACATCTATAAATTGGACAATTCTCTTGCGCTGTTTCTCATTTGCCACTTGGCCAGGCACGCAATAGAATATTTGCATTTGAAAAAAATCAATTTCTTGAACGTATACATTGAAATAAAGGCGAAGAAGCACACTCAGAATTAAAATATTATTTAATCCAAATGAATTAGGAATATTGAATTAGGAAGATTTGTAATACGAAGCACATAATTATGAAATTCTGTGAATAACACGTCACTTTTGTGTCGATTTTCATACTTACGTGTAATATAATTTTTGCATTTTTTATTATATAATTATATTATACACGAATATCTACGAGAAACGGAACAAAAAGGACATTCACAGAAAACAAAACGGATGTCGTTTCTCGGACCAAAATTAGTTCATAAACTTTTATAGTCCTCTGTCGAGAGTACTCTCTCTTATAATAATCTTAAAATAATCGCAAATCTATTTGTTACGTTGGAAAACTGTACTATATAAAGTATCTGACCCATTTCTATCTTTATATATCTTTTTTTTTTTTTAATCTAAAGGCCTTTTTAGCTGAACTTCTTACACGGTTCGTCTTTCCTCTTTTTTTTCTCTCCAACGTGGAGAAAGAAAGATGAATTGTACAAGAACTTTAGCTAAAGAGAACAGACCTTAATTCTCGATAGATAATTTATTTGCATCGTTGTTAATGCGACAGACGGTTACGTCTCCTTCCGTACAAAGTGTTCACATGCTCGTAATAAATCTTTATATCACGGACACCCGTGTAAAAAAAGCAAGTGTCCGGTGAAAAATATGCCAGGAGCATATACGTGGCTTGTCCACGTGCATATGGATGGAAACGTTCTACGCAACGCACGTCCCGACATACGTTCAACCTCTTCGGTAATCTGTGTTTACGCTTTCTTTTAACTAATTTTTATTTAGTATACAAGGATGAAGTAGGAGGCTGGGCACCGCCCACCGAATTATCACAGTTGTCTGGTGCCGCAGCACATACGTATACGTGGTTCAGCCTTACAACCTACCTCTTAATCTAGCGTTATTCTACGTTTATTTATTTCTCGGATGCAGTATAGTCCCGTACAAGGTGACTTGTCAAAGCAACGATTACTAGAAGAGCGATCATACTTTTTTTTTTTTACATATTAGATCGCGATTATATGTTATTGCTTTATTATAGCAGAGAATAGCACAGATCTCTTTAGTGAATGCTTTCTCTACAAGCTAGGAGACAGCAATGCCAAGTTGTTAATGTTTTATATCTTATTGTTTTTTTTTTTTTTTTAATCTTTATCAGTTGTAACTGATGATCATTAAACAAACTGATGTCGCGATACCGTGTACGGGAGCTATACTGTCAGCTGTCTGCAACTGATAATATCGTTTTACTCAAGTCATAACGCGTATTCCGCATGATTATGACGTTCTAATCAACGTTACGATTAGGCGAAATGAGCGGAAAATCTTGCATACACATACTGAGAAACAACAAAAGTAGAAGAAATTACAGAGTTTATAAGAACAGATCGAACAAGCTACTAATGGAAGCACTCTGTCAATTGGCTATATACATTGATTCAACGCAAAAATTATAAGTACAGAGGAAATGATATTTGGCTACCTAAGGCAACCATGTCGATAGACTACATTATATGACACATTCTCCTCTTATAATCGAGTGACTAGTGTCAGCTTATCGTTAACTGCGGTATCCGTGAAAAACAGTAACGGCAGAACTGATATAAACTGAGAACGAAACGGGAATTTCACATTCTGCAAACCTGTTGGTATAGCAAGATCATATCCCCTTATGTTATGAATTGTCAACTTGGAAACAACTAATTTACGCTACATTACTTTATGTCGGATTTAACAAAATAAAAACGGACTTAGCCATTCAAATCTCGATGGACGGATCGCGTGGAAATGATAGCGTCGGAGAAAGCATAAATATATACGCGTATATATGCATCAGGAAGAATAGTATGTACACGAGAATGCATCGGCGAGAACAGCCAGTTCGCGAGTGAATATTAAAAGTTTTTTTCATACTCGCATGGGAAGCTGCAAATAAATAAGCTTCTGTCGAAGTAACGCGATAAAGAAAATTTCTGCTGGTAAAACGTAATGATCACATGTAGACAGCCATGTGCATAAACATTAATATTCCAAAATGTCATATATATCGTTGAATATATCCAATTCTTTTTTCAAGAAAAGTATTAGCTTTTCTTTAACATACTTGGTAATATTTGTTCTGTTTTGTCCGTTTCTCTCTTTCTCTGTCTTACTAACAGTTTCGCATGTAATATGTACAGTAGTATCATGTAGCACGTGCAGTACACGTTTAAGGGACGACACTTAGAGTTTAAAAATATAATCATCATATATTTAAAGTAGTATTATATCATCATTGTATTATGGTTGTGTTTGCTGCTGCTGTTGCTGTTATTACTATTATTATTATATAATTATAATTATAGTTATTATCATTATCGATAGCGTAATAATTATTATCATTATTAGGTTTTATCATTATTATTATCATGGAGGGACAGTGTTTCGCTATGCCACGACACTGCAGAGCTGAACAAAGACTAAACGCGGAAGTTACCACGCTCTTTAATGGCACGAAAAGTACAATTAATATTGCATGCTATACTAATTCTCCTCTAATTTGGAAATTAATTGATTAGCCATGTTATTTTTTTTACAAATGTGTGTGCCACATAGTATGCCTAATCGAATAGCTTACAACTTTTAATTAAGCAAAAATCGTTATCATTTTTCATATTACACTGTCCATATAGGCTTTATACAAGTTATCAATCATAAAGCGAATTAATGAATTTCAATTTCAAAAAAACTTACACGTATTATAACTCTAAACAAAAAATACGCGAACGTCAA